ACTTGGGAGCCCAGCGACATAGCCATTACGCTAACTGCTGGTTCCCACCTGGCGTGAGTTTTAAGCCACCAGGTCCGGGACGCGAACCGCGGTCGACTACATGGGAGTCCAGCGACATAGCCATTACACTAATTGCTGGTCCCAGGATCTACAATTCTAAAGGTCACACATTTATAAGCAACCAAAATCAGATTCACACCCAAGGCTGGCTCTCCCAAATTCACTGGAGACTCTGAGCCAAAGATACTTTACTATGGCTAGAGTAAGACTCCCCTCCTTGGAAGAAGAGGAGAGAATTTGGCGCCGATTTAGTCGCTTCCTCCGGCTTCCCAAACTTCCCACTTCCTTCGGGCCTTCAACCCAGCTGCGCTCTACGGAGCTAGAGCTCTGGCCACGCTCGCCCCTGGCACGCCCCCCCCCCGCCGCCATTTCCTGTCCAATCGTGCGCGAGTCGGGTCAGTGCAGCCGGGTGGCGCCGGGGTCTCCCCCAGGACCCCGTTGGCCTGGGCCTGAGGGCCAAGCAGAGGACTCTGGTTTGAACCTCAAAGCGTGGGACGGTATCGGTTGCGGGCTGGGACGTCTGTTGAGGTTCAGGGTCCGGAGGACGCTGGCAAGTGGTTGCCGGGCAACGGTGCGGCCTGTCCCGCCCCCCCACCCACCCGCCCCAGCCTGGCCAGGCGTGTGCCCGCGCGTTGCGAGGTGCGCGGCTCGGCCCTGCGGGGTGAAACTGGGCGCCGCGCGCCTTCTCTGCCACCTTCCCCGCCCTGAAAGCCATCTGGGAGCAGAGGGCCTGGCCCCATCGCTGCACGTTCCGAGCTATGTTTCGGACCCTCTTAGGCTTGGGCGCACTTCGCTGGGCCAGTGTGGAGCTGGAAAGAGCCCTAGCCATTGTTCAGTTGAGCTGCTCACCCCAGCCTCGAGTAGGGAGCCCCACAGATACCACTCAGTGCGTGCGTGGTGCTTTACATTAATCCCCAAGATTGCCCTTTTTTTCTACGGTTTCCATAGTGTGTGCGAAGACGCGGGCCCAGAGGCTGTGACTTGAGCGGAGGTCAAAGAGCCTGTAATCGGTGGCGATAAGGACACTGAGACTCAGATCAGGTAACTCAAAGCTTGTCCCTCGCAGGTTTCTAATTCCCATGGATTGGTGAGCTACACTGCTGCACTCCCGCTACACCTATTTGTAAACCAGATCGGCCTGGAGAATTTAAAATACACATTTCTGGATACCATCTCGGTTTACTGACTGAGGCTCTCTGAGCTAAGGCCAAGTATCTGTACATTTAACAAGCTCTTAGATGGCTTCTACAGCCGGTAGGTGAGTCTTGGGGTAGCACTGAGTACACTGTTCGCCTCCCCCAAAAGCAATGTGGTAAGTCTGAAGCACCTGGAGAGGCCGGCCGCAGGTGCATGGTGGGGCTGAGTTCCCAGCCCATCAGCCAGAATGTAGCTTCTCTTCAGTCCTCAGAAACAAGCCAGAGGCTTATATTTTAAACAAGTGTGGATATTCAGATACAAATCGTTCCATCTCTGGTTATCTGTCACACTGCCAGGTCCAAGCTTCCAACTAGACCAGCCCGTTGTGATCAAAGTCAGGTGTTACCGTGCTCGTCTTCCCCTGGCAACTTGTCAGCTGCTCTGCCGCTGTTCTGCCTCGTGCCAGGTCCCTCAGTCACAGCGGTTGATGTTGGCATTGGAGGAACTATCTGCAGAGCTGTTTCCCCAGTGGATGGAGAGCTGGCAGCTACCCAAAAATATCACCACAAATAATGAGCCTCCCTTCGCCTTAAACAGCAGTCAGACTGAAACGGATCACCCTGCTGTTATCATGACATTTATAAACACAAATCGTCTTAAAAAATAATCACTTGGCTTTTCGTTTTAGAAGGCTAATAAGCCTGACAGTTGTGTTTAGTGGTTATTCTTTTTTAATTAATTTGATCATTTATGTTGCTTCTCTTAGGGATTCTGGTCCACAATGGCTGAAGATCAAGAGAGAGACTTGCAGAAATTTCTTAAAGATGTGGATGAAATCAGTAAGTGCCTGTAAATCATAAACAAATTAAATTCTGCTTTAAAGAGGTGGAATGGGTAAAGAGAGGTGATTACTCTTAGTTAGTTCCTGGGTAGCCTGACAGGTTTATGACTTGAAAGGAGGGGAGAAAAAGTAATTGAAATTAAACAGGGTATTGAAAAGCAAGTTATATTATATTATCGGCTCCGGGCAGTATTTTTTGACTGTTAATTAGTATCAGAGAAGCTGTTAACATTCTGATTGGAATTCAGGCTGACCGTCCCCTCCATATTTTGTCCATTTCTATGTAGAATCAGTTAAAAAAGGAGCTGCTATTTCCCTGTACCGGTGAGCCATTGGCTTTGATCGCGAGGAGCCTGATTGCTCAGTCCGGGATCCCTCCTGTGTGAGGGTAGAGCCACTTCTGTTTTTGAGCTGACTTGAGGCAGAATCAAATGGCTTTCATCAGATTACGTGGCTGGCTTGCGACGGCCATGTCTCTCTCCTCTCTACGTGCATCCTCTTTTCTGTCTCTCTAGACAGGGGGATCTCTTCCCCAGCTCAGACAGATGGGCTCTCAAAGAACACCCTCTGAGCCCACAGATCACAGTCAGGGGATTCCAAACCAGTCGGTTTATGTTCAGACTTCAGGGAGCTTGTTTGAGGACAGAAACAAGCCAACCAACAAGCAAGCGAGTAGACCTCACATAGCAGAGAGAAAATATGTTGAGGTTGCTGCTTCAAACAGATTGTGTGGGTCCAAAGAATAAAATGGTTTTAAAAATTACCCAGGGAGGGACCAGCAGTTAGCATAATGGCTATGTCACTGGACTCCCACGTAGTCGACTATGGTTCAAGTCCCAGACCCGGTGGCTTAAAACTCACGCCGGGCGCATGTGCTTGTGTGCCCAAGATCCCGAGAGGAGAATGGATTGCAGCGTGGCCAATCACCCTGGGGGGGGGATGTGATTTCTCGCTTTCTGTCTCTCTGTCTCTGTCTGTCTGGCGAGCACATGCGCCCTATAGCAAAAACCTCTCGAAAAAAAAAAAAAAATTACCCAGGGAACTTCCCAAGTGATACGTACAGAACACATTTTCTGTGTTCCTCCTGGGCCTGTCTTCTGCCAGTCCCTGTGTTCAGGGGACAAGTCTTGGTGTGCGGTTTCTCATCCCACCTTTGTCTGGGGAGACCCCTAGAGCCGAATCGCCACTAGCCTTCTTTTCTGGGCCTCAGCCTTTTTGGCCAACGCTCATATCTTACAAAGGCCTCAAACTTAGTGTGCACAAAATCTAGTCACTCCCCTCCCAAATAAAACCTGCTTCTCCTACTTTCCCCTGCATCCTGGTCTAAGTTGGTGGTCACATTCCACCTCCCATGCAAAAATGAACAAGTCACAGTGGGCCCCTCCCACCCCTCAACCTGACACCCAATCAGCCACTGTGGTATCTTTCTCCACCTTTTTCTCTGTTTTGATTCCTCTGGCCCAGACTATTTCAACAGCGCCTAATTGTGTTCCCTGCCTCCAGGCTTGTGCTCCCCACAGAGTAATGCATCTCAAATGCAGATCTAGCCAGACACCTCTCTGCTTTGATTCCTTGCCAGCCACAGCACATTCCAAACTCTCACAGGGCCTGTGTCCTCTCATGACCCTGCCCTTACCTCTTCAGCCTCTCTCCCTCACACTTGCCCTTTCCTTCCTGTGCCCTCGTGTGTGGTACTCTGCCCCTGGTCTTCGGCACGCCTCTGCTTCCCGTCCTCTTCCCCGGCACCCTTTCGTTCCTGCTCCAAGTTTTCAGGTATCCTCCGCCCCAGCGCGGTCCAGTCCCACTTTCTATAAGTCGCACTGTCCTCTAGGATAACTCGTCACAGGTGGCTAGCTAGTGTATGAACTGTGGCCTGTGACCGAGGAACCGACTCTCTCGTTTTATTTTATTTCTAATGAATTTAAATGTATATAGCCACATGGGGTCAGATTCCATGTTTTCATTTCTCGGGCTCTTGCTTAGTGCTGGACGCACTGGAGAGTACAGGAAAAGAATTACCTTCCTTGGTGGGTTCCTCAGTCCAGTGGGGAAAACATATTAGACAAGGAATTTCGACGGTGAGAGGTGATGCGGGGACTCCCAACGTGTGGGAGACCCTAACCAGTGCAGCTGGGTGCCATTACGAGATACCGTGGACTGTGGATTCGGCCACAGGCAGTACTTCCTCACAGTCTGGGGTTGAGAAGTCCCAGATGAAGGTGTCAGCAGGCTGGGTTTCTTCTGAGGTCTCTTCTTGACTCACACTAGCCCCCTTCTTGCCATGTGTTTATATGGTCATCTGTCCGTGTGTGCCTGTATTTATTTGAAGCCTCTTCCTCTTTTTATAAAGATACCAGCCATATTAGAGTAAGGCTCCCGACTTATGGGCCCATTTAATTATCTCTTTAAGGGTGCCGTCTCTGAATACAGTCATGGGGGGGCTAGGGTTTCAACATAGGGATGGGGGAGACCAGCATTTAGCGTAATGGCTATGTCGCTGGACTCCCATGTACTCAACCATGGTTCGAGTCCCAGACCTGGTGACTTAAACTCATGCAGGTTGCATGTGCGTGCGTGCCCAAGATCCCAAGACTCCTCTTGGAGAGTAGAGGAGAAGGGATTGCGGTGTGGCCATCCCCCCGGGGGATGATTTCTCGCTTTCTGTCTCTTGGTCTCTCTTTCTGGCGATTGCACGCATCCTATGGTAAAACCCTCTCAAAAAAAAAAAGAGATGGATTCCAATCCAAGTGTAGAGAAGCCAGGTGGAGAAAGGCCTGGGAAACCACAATAAGGAATTTGTGTTTACCCCAGAGCAGAAAATCCACTCCTAATAATTTATGTAGATACCCCCCAGGAGGTGTGGCATAACACTCCATTCCTTAAGTGTGAGACACTTTTAGTGACTTGCTTCCCAGGGGTACAGTGCGGGAAGGGAGGGGGAGAGTCCCTTTCCAGTAGGAGAGCTGACAGACGACTGAAGTTAACGTCACGGTGACTCTAGGCAGCACATGCCCTCAATGTGTGTGCTGTGATTTACCTCTCCAGACCCTGTGACCCGACCTCACCTGATAGACCCAATCTGAATGACATTCTCCAAAATACCTGACCAGCCATCATCCAAAATGCAGAAAATCCAAGGAACTGTCACAGCCAGAGAACTGTAAACTGAGTAAAACTAAGCAAATGGTGGTCGTGTTAAGCCACTCAGTTTGGGGTGGCGTGTGATGTAGCAACATGATACAGATATTAAACGTTAATACATGCTGGAGAAAGGATGCATATTAGTTTATAGATGGCATGGAACTAGAAGTATCTGTTACATCAATTTCTGTCTGAAATACTTTACTACTAAAATTTTTTAAAACAAATTTCCATGAAGAGTTGGTGGGAAACCAAGAAATGAAAAAGAAAATAACTTCAGGAGAGACAGGACATTTGGAGAAATTAGTGTATAAATACTTTTAGGAAAAATGTGGTAAATGCGAGAGGTTGAAAATATCGCTGAATATAATCAATTGTTGGGTCCTGACTATGCAAAATAGGGTGATGATGGGATTGTGAGCCCAGGATGAAGGAGTGACGTATACAGAAGAGGCACCCCTTTCTGTGGACACAGACGTAGGCACCTGTGCTGTTTTGATGGCAGGAAGCTGGAAGAGCTCCTTTCTGATAGCATCTCTTTTTCCTCTCTAAATTAGTAAGTCAGGTCTTCCCCTTGAGACAAGTTTCTTTGTTTTGTTTTAACATCTATTCAATTACCATGAGAGAGAGAGAAACAGCCCCTCGACCAGGCCTCAATGCCATCATGCACCCCCAACCTTCAGCCTGCACTGGATCAAGGCAGGTGTGTGTCTGGCTTATTCAAGGAGGTCTGCAGCTTTGAACCAGGAACTTCTCCTTGCAGATCTGCCCCACAGAGCATTTCATTTTATCACTGCACCACCATCACTGCATCGTCATCTGGCCCCGTGAAGTCAGGTTTAGATTACAGAAAACTCAGAATTTGGGGGAAGAATGATAGGATGACGTGCCTGGGAAAACACAGTAGGATGGCTGGGCCCCACCGAAGGTCCAGTTGAAAGCCATCACCCTAGGCATTCATCTTTCTCTCTGAGTTCTCAGCATCCCTAGTAAAGGCTGAGTGATGGACAGTCGGATTCCCGCAGAGTTAGAGTTTGTCTTGTAGGTGGCCTGAGAGGGCAAGGAGCTGGAGTAGGTGGGCAGGAGGGCCAATGGGCTCCCAGGGTGGACTGTGACACCTGTCGGGTAGCAGTTCGTTGAAGACTCGTGGGGAGAGAGTTAAGGGCTGTTGTTTGGTAATCTCAGCGCTGCCTACACTTAGATGTTTGTCTCCCACACGGGAGCATAAGCTCTTCAAAAAAAGAGAAAAGATCTTTATTCATCATTGTTATCTATAGCATTCAGCACAATATCTAACTCATAATAAGCTCCCCACAAATGATTGTTGAATTAAATGATGACTTAGAACTCTGATCCTTGAAGCCTATAGTTAAATTCTTCTGCAGCTTTTTCGAAGAAAAACAAATCCTGTTCTTCATTTTTTTTTCTCATTGGTTCTAATTGCTCTGTTTTGCTTTTTATTGCTTTATTTTTTCTTCTTTAAAATCTTCCCGATGGATTTTCTACATGATCCTTTCTTAATGGAGTCTTGTCTTTTTACTTTTAGTTGCTTTTTTGTTTTGGAGGGACAGGGACAGGGTCAGGGTCTCAGTAGCTAGGGATCGTCCTGCCTTAGCCTCCTGAGTAGCTGGGATTACAGCCCATGAGACCACGCCCAGCTTCCAGGGTGGGCTGGGGATGGAAGTGGGGCTTCCCAAGTGGACTAAGCCTGTCATCTGCCACTGCGTGCTCCAGGGTGGGTCCAAAAGCCTCCTTTCGGAGACCTTGTTTGGTTGATTCACATATGGTTTCTCCTCTAGCCAGTTTAATTCAGGATATGAATTCCGATGACCCTACTGTGCAAGAGAAAGCTGTCCTTGAGACAGAAAAGAGACTACAGTTTATGGAAGAAGACCAAGAGGAGGACCAGTGTAGGACCACCTTGAACAAGACTGTCATCAGTCCTCCGCAAGCCCCCACTCAGGTTGTCATTTCTATTTTGGCATTACATAAGTGGGCACAGAGGGAAGACCTGCATTGAGCATTGGTCTAATCTCACGCTGTCTGGTGAGGCTGTAATAGTCTGTTTATAGGTTTATTTTCCACAATGACACATAAACTCTAGTCTTTTTTTGTTTGTTTTTCTCTGGACTCTTTCCAAGTTATCTTTAAACAACCCTTTGTATTTGTTCACACAGGGATTTTGCCCGTCTGCTCTGAGCTTGTGTGCTATATTTAACCTGTACAGTTACCATAATGCGTTCTACTAAGTCAGTTGCCCACCTTGTACGGCCACAGCTGGGGGCCCTGCCTGGGCAGCCTTGTTTCTGCAGACTCGACTCCAAGTGATTGTGCACAGTCCCCTCTGCTAAGTTAAAGCTCTTCCCCTGAACCTGGGGTCCCTTAGCATGAGCAGTTAAACAGAACACCCCGACTCTTCACTTGTAATTGATGAGCTTTCTTGATTTATATACATGTAAATCAGAGAGTGGTTTTTGACATTTGTTTCTTTGTTTTCATGAACACCTGGATCCTGCAGGAGGCCGGTGAAATTAACTCAGGTAAGAACAGCATCTTTTTTCCCAATCTGTGTTATTTATTCAGGAGTAGATTTTATCGATTGTTACTTCCAGACCCTTCCATTGTAGCCACTGAGCTTACAAACAACCCATGAACAAAACCTGCTGATCACCCCATTGCGTCACTGGTGGTCAGAAGAGGACAGTCCTGGGAGGTGGAGACTCCTTTCTCCAGGCCGGTGTTATCTACACTGAATTCAGTTATTCTGCATCATCCAGTTTATTCTGTGCTGTTCAAGGATCCAGATAGTTCCCCTGTTGCTCAGTTCAGAAGCTCATTATGCAAAATGGAACAAAAAGTCTCTCTTCAAAGAAACACTCTTTTAAAAGACATAATTCAAATTTGAAGCATAGTCATAGCCGTCATGTATAATAATACCTCACGCAGATTACCATTTAATGTCAAATTAAGAAAATGTCATTTTAGTTGCCTCGGCGTGGTCTGTGTGCGCGTGCGTGTGTGTGCATGCGCCTGCATGTGTATGCATGACAAGTGTGGCTCTGCGGTTCGAAAGTAGCTGTTCCTGAATTTGACCTGGTGAACTGATGGTAGTGTCTGGATTTCTCTTTTCCATATTTGAAATCACTCTGCTGCAGAGGCCTTCTTGGCATGTGTGGAGAAGGATGCAAAGGAGAGAGCCAAGAGAAGAAGGGAAAACCAAGTCTTGGCCCATGGTAATCGGCAGTCCCTACTTCTCAGTGGTGGGATGATGTGCGCAGAAAGAGCACACGAGCACCTCTAGGCGGATGTTTGAGGACATTAAGACTCCCAGGCAGTGGATCCAAGATGGGCCAGCAAGGGAAGCCGGCCAGGCAGAAATCACTGGTACTCTATGCCTGCTCCTGCTGCAGTGAGCAGAGGGTGGGACAGAGCCTTCAGCCAGCTCCGCTGGCAGTCCTCTTCCTAAAGCAGATGGACAGACTTAGCAGAGCAGGCCGGACAGTACCAACCAGTGCTGGCAAGTAGGAGAGATGGGGAAGGAGGTAACCCTGGCTAGCCTGAGATGGAGCTGAGGAAGTGAAAAGGAGAAATGAGCAGAGATGTGAAAAAGGAGAGGAGAAATAAAAACAAATAAACAAAGAGGGGGCAGCAGGTGTTACGGTGGCTGAGGTGCTGGACGGTCAACTGAGGTTCAAGATCCAGACTTGGCACATGTCCGTGTGTGCCCAAAATCCCCAGAGGAGAATGAAGGAGAAAGGATTGCAATGTGACCACCCCCCTCAGAGGGTGATTTCTCACTTTCCCGCTTACTGTTTCTCTCTGGCTCCCTCTAGCAAGCGCATGCACCCTATTGCAAAAACCTAGAAAAAAGAAAGAAAGGAAGGAAGGAAGGAAGGAAGGAAGGAAGGAAAGGGGGGAAATATATAACGAATATTTCAACATTTTATTACACCACCCCATGGTATGCGTGCTATAGATGTGGATTATTCCATGTTTGTTAGAAAATTAATTATTTCACTTCCTTTATGGGACATTGACTATGTAGCTTTGGTCTCTGTGGGAGGCTTGGAGTGGTTCTGAGTCTTGATTCAGAAACATTTAGTTTTTCTGAGAAGCTACATAAGAGACTTGGGGATAGATTTGGAGAAAAAAAAAATCTTACAAAAGCTGGTCTTGGAATATCTGCAGAGAAGAACAAATGATAAGCCCTTCTGGGATTAACAGAAGCTATGACCTTCAAAGTAGAACTGGAAATCTGGGGAATAAAACTGAAGAATTTCCCAACAGGTGGTGAGAGCTCACTGAGTTTGTTTGTTTTTGTTTTGTTTTGTTTTGTTTTTCTCACATAGCCCTGAAAGAACAGGGGAATGAAGCATTCGTTAAGGGCGACTTCGAAACGGCCATCGTGCGCTACAGCGAGGGTCTGGAGAAACTGAAAGACATGAAAGTGCTGTACACCAACCGAGCCCAGGTCAGTGAGCCGAGCCAGGTCTGTCCACGGGCTCTTCTCAGACAATTGCCCCTAGACTGTGAAAACACACAGAGGAGACTAGACGGCACCTCGGTGGGTGGTAAGCATTTAACATCTGGCTCATGACTGGGGAGTTGAGTGCGGATGTGGAAGGAGCACTTAGCGCTTCGCTCTTCTCTGTGATGTGATCTGACTTCAGGCTGCCAGTCTGAAATCTCGGAGGGAGGGGCGGGAAGAACTGCACTTAGTCAGCTCTCTCTATAGCGCAGGTCAGCTCCAGCACTGATGGAAACCGGGAACTTTTCCGTGTGGGTAAAGGAGAGAACTAGTGGCAAGAGATGACCTAGGGGACCTTGGAATTCTACCGCTGGGTTGGGCTGGTCTCCTTGTCTGGTGGTAGAGGACATCCCTGAGGATTGCTCTCCTGCTCATTTCTCCTTCGTTGTGTTAATCCCTCTTTTAGATGAAGAGTCTGTGAGTGGGGTAAACGATTAGGTCGTCAGGAAAGTCATGACATATTTTTTCTGTAGTTTTCTATGGAAAAATGCATCATGACTTTCCTGATGACCCCAAAGATAGCTAGTAGGCCTAGATCCAATTTCAGCAGTTGTGAATTCCTGAAGGTCTTTCTGCCGCTGTTTTCTATCAGACATGAGCTCAGTGTCCTAGAACACGGGGTAATAACCATCACCCAGACATTTATTACCTGCTACTTGAGGAAGGGACAAGGCTGATAGTTCTTATTTGAAACAATGTTACCTTTGAAAAAGAGTTGAGTCTTTGTGTTGAGAGTTCTCTGTTACTTAGGCCTAAAAACTTGGCAGGTTCGGGCCATGATTATTCGGTGGTCAGGACAAATCAGCAAGACCTGTCTGAGAGGAACTCGATGCCATGTCATTGACAAGAGGAATGGCCGCAGCAGAGTCCTCATCAGCTCCAATTTCTGTAACTCAGGATTAAGAATGTCTAGCTGTGGCATGTCGGGGAAGCGTATTGAAAGCTAGAAACCAGTCGTGAAGAGTCCGGAAATCTGAGGAGTGACAGTGATTTAATGATAAATAAATCCAAGCACAGTATAACCTCATTAGTTTAGCAGTTAGAATAAGCCAGTCTAGACTCGAGGTATCACTTACCCCCTCCTACTTGTGGAGAAAACTTATTATAAGGAAGGGAACTGGAAAGTAAGGGGCCCAGAGGTTGCTATCGCACTGTACATGTCATCACCCTAACACGATTGTAAACTTTTTGAGGGCAAAACCTGCCGCTTACCTTTTCCTTAATGTTTTAATGATAATGGATATTCAATAAATGCTTGTTAGGTTATCTAATATTATCACAATAAGTTATCACTGCAAGTCCATTTAAGGTTATTTCTGTTGACAATTCAGAAGAATTGTTTAAATACAGGCAATTAATACAATAATTAGAGTTCCTTCTTATTTATCACCAAATTTGGTCTCAAAAAACATCTACCTACTGATGCATATTCAGTCTTGTTACTTCTGAAGTTATCTAAAAGCAATATAATTGAATTGCTTTTAAAACGTTATGTAATTTAGACTTGCATCTAATTCAGACAGTCTATATCCTGATTCATCTAAATTAGGTACGTTTTTGCTATACTCAGTTTTAACCATCGCTTTGATTAGTTCTGAAGAATCACATTAAGAATGAATGTGGGTAAATACAAGTAAGCACAGTGAAAAGCTTTGGGGGAAGCAATTCCTCCCAGCTTTCTCAAGGAAAATGCTTATTCAAAGACAAATGCAGTTATGCTGCTGGGTGTTTCGAATCATTCGAACCATTGACTACTTTTAAAATGCCTCTCTTGTTTGCATGCAGTGTTAGGAAACACTTAATAAGGACCCTGTGAATTGAGTGTTGCTAGCTGGAGAGGAAACCTACCCTTCATTGCTTTGTGTTTCTGCTAGAGCTGCCGTTATGATCAATAGATCCCTGGTGTAAATAGACAAATTTGGAGTTTAATTGCCATTTGGAAAAAGTCATCCTTTTTAAAACATGCAAAAGAGAATGTGGAAGTTATAGGGTGTTCAATCCAAGGCTTAAAATAAAAAGGGAAAGAAAACAAAGTGAAAGGCCACGTTGAGAAATGGTCGAAGCCCATCCGGACTTTCAGCGGCCTTAGGTATCCTGAATAACAATGTCGTGGCCTCGTGGTGACGGTTGTCTGCAATAGAACAATGCCAGCTTCTTCCTCACATCTTCTGACTTTCTAATGAAACCCAAGACCCTGGAGGAAAGGACAGTGCTTTCCAGAACAGACAGCTCGGAGTTGTCTTCTTCAATTAGTGCAGGGCCCGAGTTAATGAAAGTATCGCATCACAGCCCCCTCTCTATCGGAGCAAAAGCTCCACTGCAGAAATTCGTTAAGAGCCCGTTGCCGGCTCCCTCCTCGCTTTGGTTGAATACTTAAATTTCCCATGAGTTTCAACACTAACGCCCAAATTGGCTTGTCCGTGTGAATATCACATCAGAATTAATGTGAAGGATGCCTTGGTACAGTTTCGATCACACGCAAACCTAAAACAGGTAATATAGGTGGAACAGCCTTAATCCACAAACCTAAAATGCTTCAAAACCCAAAGCTTTTTTAATACCAATATGATACCACAAGTGGAAAATTCCTCCCCTGACCTCATGTAACAGGTCACAGTCAAAAAACTGTAACAGAAATATATTGCATGAAGACTATGTGTATAAGGAGTATATGAAACATAAATAAATTTCATATTTAGATTTGGGTCTCATCCTTAAGATATCTCATTACATATATGCAGATATTCCATAATCTGCAGTAAATCCAAGATTTGAAACACGGGGTCTCAAGCGTACGCGTCGTTAACGTATGTAGCCCCCACGGACGGTATTATCTGTGTCCAGTGAGCCACTTGATGCCTCTGGTGCTTGGTTGTCCTTTTCTACAATGAGGTGATCACTGCTGTTTCTCAGAGAACTTCCCAAAAGAAGGGTGCTTCGAGTCCACATGGCACAACTTAATTGTGTATTGACCACGTGTTGTGTCTGGTGGTGAATACAGAGGTTATGGGAGCCATCATTGTTCTTCCTTTAAACACTCCGTTCATATGCCTGTCGTGCTTAGAAACTTTAAATAAACTAAGTTCTCAAACTGGCTTAGTTTGAGTGGATCACAGAATTCTGAGTCAGTTCTTGACGTTTGAAGGTTCCCCTAGTGCTGGGGTGTAAAGGAGTGCTCCATGCATTTGGCACTGAGGGTTCAGGGTGACGGCCGGACTCTGCAATGTCAGGCCAGGTCCTGTATATCTTCCTTCCTCCTGAGTTCACAAGGATTCAGAACTTTTCTTGATGACAACATTAAGAGATAATGAACAGGGACCAGCACACCTAAGATCCCGAGAAGAGAATGGAGGAGAAGGGATTGAGGCATGGCCATCCCCCCGAGGAGGAGGGGTGATTTCTCCCTTTCTGTCTCTCTGTCTCTCTCTGTGTCTCAGGGGAGCACACGTGCCCTATAGCAAAAAAATCTCTCTAAAAGGTATAATTAACAGGGACCAGCAGATGGCATATCAGTTATGTCGCTGAACTCTCACGTAGTGGACTACGCTTTTGAGTCTCAGACCCAGTGGCTTGAAACACGCTGGGCACATATGTATGCATACCTAAATCCCAAGAGGAGACTGGAGAAGAAGGGATTGCAGCCTGCCCGTCCTCCCTGGGGAGTGATTTCTCACATTCTGTCTCTCTTTGTCTCTCTGGTGAGCACATGTGCCCCACGGGAAAAATCTCTCCAAGAAAAAAAAAAAAGAATTAGTATAGCATACAAGTCATCCGTTTAAAGTATACTCAATGAGGTACCAGCAGTTAGTGTAATGGCTATGTTGCTGGACTACCATGTAGTCGATCGCGGTTTGCGTCCCGCACTCGGTGGCTTAAACTCACGTCGGGCGCGTGTGCGTGCGTGCCCAAGATCCCGAGAGGAGAATGAAGGAGAAGGGATTGCAGAGTGGCCATCCCCCCTGGGGGGGTGATTTCTCGCTTTCTGTCTCTCTGTCTGGCGAGCGCATGCCAAAAAAAAAAAAAAAAAAAAAAAACTCTCCAAAAAAAAAAAAAACCTCTCCAAAAAATAGAGTATACTCAAAGGTTTTGAGTATAACCACAGAAATGCTCAACTATCACAATCAATTTTTAAGCATTTCATCATTCCCAAAAGAAACTCTGCACACCTTAGCTGTCACCCCTCAATCTTCTCATTTCCTCTCCTCAACCCCAGCCCTAGGTGACCACTGATCTACATTTGCCTGTTCGGGATGTTTCATGTAAATGGAATGATTTATTTGTCCTTTTGTGACTGGCTTCTTTTGTTTGGCATATATATTTATTTTTTTGGGAGAGGTTTTTGCTATGGGGTGCCAGCAGCATATGAGGGTCCCAGTTTTCCAGTACTCTTTCCAACTCTTGGTATTGTCTGTCTTCATGCCCTTAGCACTTGTGTCCTCTGGAACATCCACAGCAGGGCAGACTCCAGAAGCTCGCTCTTCCTTTGTAGCTGGGGTTGTGTGCCCTCTCTGCCCTGCTCTGGGCCCAGGGTTGGGGGTCCCCTGTGTGGAGTGGCTCCTTGGCTCCCCAGCCCTCTAACTCCCATGTGGGCTCAGCCAGTGAAGTCAGGACAGAGACAAATGAGAGAAGGGGTCTCCGCTCTGGCGTGGCCTCAGCTCGTCAGGTGCCTCTTGGCCCAGCTGTCCTCTCCCATTCCTGTGAAGGAGAGCTCACAACTTTCCTTCCCTTTCTGGTTCGAACTGTGTCAATGGCTGCCCGCCACTGCTAGCCCTGGGGTGGGGGGTGACACTGCTTGTCGCTAGCCTAAGCCTCACCCTCACCTTCGAGCAGCCCCTGCATTCAGCTGTCCTCAGCTGCCCAGTGTGAGCTGCCATCAGCTTCCTGCCCGACTCGAGTAGGAGCCGTTACTCCCCTCGCCCTCTGCTGTCCGGCTGCCCTCCCTGTGCTGACTGAAGGTGGCCCGCTGCAGAGTCACACGCGTTCAGCCCTTTGTGTTGTTTCAGGCGTATATAAAACTCGGGGACTACCAGAAGGCGCTGGTGGACTGCGACTGGGCTCTGAAGGTAAGAGAAGAGTTCCTTTCTCTCGTGTGGTGGCATTCCAAGACCGATGTGCCTTGTCAAGGAAGGTGAGGCCATGAGGCTGGGCTTGCCCGATCTGGACGTCTGACTCCTGGAGTGAATGGGGGCGACCAGTGTATCCCGGTAGCAGAGAGCCAGAGCCTCAGCCGCCTCCCCTGTGAAATGGGGTAGAGCAGAGCCGTGGGAGGGTCACGATCATGCGCGTGAAGTGCCTCGGTCACAGGACGCACTCCAGAGAAGCTGCAGTTACTGGGTTTGCAAGGTCTTGTATTCTAACAGCTCATCTGGGTTTTCCTGTTTTACGACGAGGTGATCACTGGCACGTGCACACAGGCTCCTCATTCTTAGCACTGTGCCATCGGACGCTTTGCTCCATGTGACAGCTCTTCAGAGCAGCCACGAGAGCTGGTCTCTTCAGGCCTGTCATTGTCCCTCATCAGCCTGTGGGTTTCCTCTCCAGCCACAGTAATTCACAAATCTATTACAACAGCCTCTATCTTTGAAGGGATGATCAGAAGAAAGATTCCTGTTGCTGGGCTCAGTCAGGCCTCAGGCAGGCAGATGACACTGGGCATGTACTCCTCTGCAGGCCGCCACAGTCGGTGTCACGGGTACAGGAAGTGAGGACCTTGGTGGAAATGTTACCAACAGGTGAAAGAGAAATGGCATGGTCCCTTCCTAGGGGCATCAGTTCAGGTCACTAAATACTTAAATAATCTTTAGTCCACATCCCCTGAGTTACTCTGACTCTATCATCTGGAGCTTTAGCCAAATAACCCAAACTAGCACTTCTCAGACCTCCCCCGAAGGCCAGAGAGAAGAGGAGAACGAACATGAGCCCCTTGGAAGTATAGAAGCAGAAAACATGACATTTCTTTTGGTTGGTTTTCAAATTCCTTATGACTTTTGTATGGCACACCATAAAAGGTATCTCTTTGTTATCATTTAAAATAACTTAGCAATTGTTGCATCAAGTCAGCAAGAAATAAGAGGACATCCAGAGATAGCCAAGTTATTGGAGTTTTATTTTCGGCAGCTCACGGGAGGACTCATGTCTCCCAAAGACCCCGCAGCCCCGAGTGAAAGGAGAGGGGTGCTTATAAGGGCAAAAGTCACCATCACCTCTGAGTTCGCACGGTGACTACAATGGAAAACGAGAAAGGGGTGAAGAGGAAAGGGAGTTGGGTTCCCATGTGAAAGCAGTTACAGAGGCTGAATGGAGCAGGTCCATACTTCCCAAGGGCACTCCCAGACCTTTGTGTAATGGCCCCCAGGCTCTGGGCAGGGGTCTGGAGATTGGTAGTTAGTTGCTGAGGAACACCTAAACAAACAGGCTTCGGGCTAGTTAGCAAAGACAGACGATTAATCACTATTTACTCTGGGCAAAAGGAGGAAGCGAGTATAACTTAAAAATCAAAGATGGAGGTGCTTCTGCTTCACAATCGAGTAAGACTGAGGTGCTGAGAGAAGGCGGGTTTATCCTGTGGCTTTTTTTTTTTTTCTTTTAATTTATCAGAAAGTATATGTACTTGCAGGAGAGAGACAGAGAAAGAGAGGTAAAGGAGAAAGCACCCCTCCTGGGGTGGGTGACCACAGTCACAGACCACACCACAGTCCCTTCTCCATTCCTCCTTCAGGAGTTTGGGCATGCACACACATGCTACCAGCACGTTCATCAAGCCGCCAGGCCCGAAACTCAAACCACGCCTTCGGCCATACGGGTCTAGTTGCCCCTCACCACCTGGCCCTGGCCTGTGGTTCTGATTCACGCCAGGCCTGGCCTAATGAGCATGGCTCCGAGCCATAGCCCGTGTCCAACCACGTGCTGGCCACACACATCCGTTTATTTTCTACTGGTGGGAAGCCAGCGGCGACAGGAATGAAAGTCACCTTTGCTTACAGTGGTCCGGTCCGTAGACACTGGGGAGCCTCCCAAACGGCACCTGCAGTGCCTGGTTTCTTCATCCCTTGGAAGATCAGGTCCCTTCCCAGCACATGGGTGGAATCTGTCCCTTACGAGAACTTCCCAAAGCCGAGGGCCTAGAGCTCCTCAGAGCTCCGGTGTAGTCCCAACTGCCTTGTCACCTTGTTTGATCTTCAGTTATTTTTCCATAAGAGAGAGGCAGGCGTGTGCTCCTTGGTGCAGTAACAGCCTCGCAGCATTCTGTTCTCCATTTCACAACACTGACTTCCCTAGTTCTCCAACAGGGAAACCAAGTCTCAGAGATGAACTAAGTAATTTCGCAAGATCATGAAGCTAGCATCTAACTGCAAGGCCGAGGTCTCAACTGTTCCCTGTAAACAGGCCCTCACTGAAGTGTTGCACCCCGCAATTCCTGGGTGCGCACCTCCTGTCCTTCTGTGGGAGAAGCACCAGCCCCCCGCAGAGCCTGGAGGAGTGTCTCTTGTGATCTGAGAAGGCCCATGGAGGCAGATACGCAGTGTGCTGATTCAGGGTAGCCCGCTGGCCCGTTCCCAGACGTTAATTGAAGCACATTGTAATTAGTAGTGAAACCAAGGCAAAGCCGACCCAGTGGAGCTGACATTTAAAAACGCTGACACTCAGCAGCCAGTCTTGTTACGTGCCCAGCGAGGCTCCCAGCTGAAGAGGTTTGGGTAAACACTTGGAGGGATGGGGATACAGTTAAACTGCTCACCGTCGGCTCCACGTGGAAGCCGTGAATTAAGAGAAGTCTCCATCTCTCTAAGAGTAGTGTATCAATCGTGGGAACCAGCAGTTAGCGTAATGGCTATGTCGCTGGACTCCCACGTAGTCGACCGCACACACACCGCGTCCCGGACCCGGTGGCTTAGAACTCACGTCAGGAGCATGTGTGTGCGTGCCCAAGATCCCAAGAGAAGAATGGAGGAGAAGGGATTGTGGCGTGACCATCCCCGCTGGGGGGTGATTTCTCGCTTTCTGTCTCTATGTCTTTCTCTGTCTGTCTGGTGAGCGCATGCGCCCTATAGAGAAAGAAAACCTCTCCAAAAAAAA